GGGAGGAGGGAGGAGTGCCCGGCCGGGACTCCGCTCTCCCCGGCGGCCAGAGCGCCGGGGGGAGGGCAGCGAGCCCAGCCATGGCCCCGCTCTCCCCGGTGGCCAGAGCCGGAGCGCCGCACCACGCCGCCCTCCTCCAGGTGCCGCCCCAAGCACAAGCTTGGTGGGCTGATGCCTGGAACCGGCCATGACTATACCATTCTCTCACTAGAATGGAAAACCTAGAATGGCAGCAGGCTGTAAAAGAGACCCAGTTTGGGAATAAGAACCTGGGACGGGGTAGGGAGGATTGACCTGGGAATGTTGTGTGGGAGTTTTATTGGGACTGTCTGCATTTCTGATGGGATACCAGGCTGTGGCCTCACTTGAGGGATGATACCTGAGCCCAGGAGGGGATTGGGGCCAGGTGATACCTTTTGCCCGGGAAACTGGACAAAGGCTGGAGGAGGAGCCGGGGGGAGGCGGGGTGAGACTGCTGGAGGGGATTTTTCAGTTTGGAGCTGACTGGGGAAACGGAGGGAACCCCAAAGCTGGAGTCTAAGCTCCCTGCCCCCCCACCCCCCCTTGGGACTCCACCTGGATGCGCTGAGGCTCCGGGAGAGGGGCGGATGCGGGGTCAGGCCAGGGCCAGGGAGGGAGCCTCAGCCCTTCTCGTGTGGGCCCCTGCGGAGCCTGGGGCAAATTGCCCCACTTCGCCCCCCCCCCCCCGGGCGGCCCTGCTCAGTCCTACTTCTTGTTCAGCCAATCGCTCAGACAAACAAGTTTGTTCACATTTGTGGGAGATAATGCTGCCCACTTCTTGTTTACAATGTCATCTGAAAGTCAAAACAGGCATTTGCATGGCACTGTTGTAGCCGGCGTCGCAAGATATTTATGTGCCAGATGCGCTAAAGATTCAAATGTCCCTTCATGCTTTAACCACCATTCCAGAGGATGTGTGTCCATGTTGATGATGGGTTCTGCTCGATAACGATCCAAAGCAGTGCAGACCGAAGCATGTTCATTTTCATCATCTGAGTCAGATGCCACCAGCAGATGGTTGATTTTCTTTTTTGGACGTTCGGGTTCTGTTGTTTCTTCATTGGAGTGTTGTCTTTTAAGACTTCTGAAAGCATGCTCCACACCTAGTCCCTCTCAGATTTTGGAAGGCACTTCAGATTCTTAAACCTTGGGTCAAGTGCTGTAGCTATTTTTAGAAATCTCACATTGGTACCTTCTTTGTGTTTTGTCAAATCTGCATTGAAAGTGTTCTTAAAACGAACATGTGCTGGGTCATCATCTGAGATTGCTATAACATGATATATATGGTAGAATGTGGGTAAAACAGACCAGGAGACATACAATTTTCCCCCCAAGGAGTTCAGTCACAAATTTAATTAATGCATTCTTTTTTTAATGAGCATCATCAGCATGGAAGCATGTCCTCTGGAATGGTGGCCAAAGCATGAAGGGGCACGCAAATGCTGAGCATATCTGGCACATAAATACCTTGCAATGCCGGCTACAAAAGTGCCATGCAAATACCTGTTCTCACTTTCAGATGTCATTGTAAATAAGAAGCAGGCAGCATTTTCTCCCATAAGTGTAAATAAACTTGTTTGTCTTAGCGATTGGCTGACCAAGAACTATGACTGAGTGGACTTGGAGATGCTAAAGTTTTATACTGTTTTGTTTTTATGTAACAAAAAAAAATCTACATTTGTAAGTTGTACTTTCATGATAAAGAGAATGCACTACAGTATTTGTATGAGGTAAATTGAAAAATACTATTTCTTTTATCATTTTTACAATGCAAGTATTTTTAATAAAAATAATAATATAAAATGAGCACTGTACACTTTGTATTCTATGTTGTAATTGAAATCAATATAATTGAAAATATAGAAAAACATCCAAAATATTTAATACATTGCAATTGGTATTCTATTGTTTAACAGTGTGATTAAAGCTGCAATTAAATCGTGATGAATTTTTTTTAGTTAATCGCGTGAGTGAACTGCGATTAATTGACAGCCCTACTTCCAAGTCATTGATACATTTTTATCTTCTGATTTTAAAATCTATTAATGTAATTGTAGTTCTAATCCTAGTACTTTTTAGCATAGGCACTGCTGTTTGGACTATACTACCTAGAATCTGCAACAAGAAGTAATAATTATTAACATTATCATTTATAAATTATATAGAATCATAGATGTGCTTGGCACTTTACAATATAGATAAAGACTGAGTCTCTGTCCCGAAGACCTTACAATCTAAGCTGGTCATCCTGCAAAATCATATGATCATAAGTAGTCCCAATGCTTCAATGGACTGTTCATGTGTATTAAGTTAAGCAGATGCATACATTTTTGTACAATTGGACCTTTGTGCAGATGAGATAACAGTGAGAAAGTGAATTAAGAGGAGGGAAGCATGTGGGAGAAGACCGTGTGATTATGAGTATATGTGCTTATCTAGAAGGGAATATGACATGCTTACAACTGTGACTATGCATCAAGATGATGAATGTTTCTAAAAATAAGTGATATTTTGGGTTTGTCGCTGTGCTCAGTGGATTTTTAGCTGTACAGCCAAGGTTGGTGTGTTTCTTTACAAAAATTAAACCCTACGGAGTGTGGTGTATTGTACATATCTGTATTGTTATACAATTCCCAGCACCCTGCATGTTACAGAGAAATGCCAACACTTCTTTGGATGCTGAATCCTGAGGTTTTGGCAGCTTTGGGCTTTTAGATTCACCTATCACAGTGTATTTTCCTCCTTGGTGTATCAATGACACACCTCTGCTAGGAATTATTACTGTTGCTGGTTAAGCACCTTAGCAGTAAGTTCTAACTTGGGTGGGCTATTGTTTTGTATCTCACATGTCAGAACCCTCCTCCACCAATCAACTTGAGCCTCTGGTTCTGTCATTTGCTTGCCACCTACACTTAAGGTGTATTTGCTGTGGTGCCCCGGAGGCACGCTCTGACCTGTGATTCACTGGTCAATGGACACCTGTATTCTGCTGGCTATTGATGCATTGCTTGTGACATGAACTCGTGCACTGTGTCTAGCTTTTGATGGAGAGGTGCTCACATTAATTTACAGTAATTGGTCTTTTGCAGGCCGTGGCACAGAGAGACCAACTGACTGAATGGGCTATGAAGAGTGGTCCCAATGGGGGAAATTGGCACTGCCATCGTCTGAGCCAGCCCTGTCCTTTGGCTCAGTGGAGCACTTCAGTCTTTGGGGCTGTCAGTCTGTCTTGTTTCACAGCACTAAATTAAATGTTAAAGGATAAGGCACCAGGCTGGGAATTAGGAACCCTGGGTTCATTTTCTGGCTTTGCCACCACCACCTTGCATGGCTTTTGGCAAGTCACTTCATCTCTCTTTGCCTCAATTTCCCCATCTGTACAATGGGAATAACTACACTTGCTTTCTCCCACCCTTTGTTTGTCTCATCTCTTCAGATCATAAGTTCTTTGAAGCAGGGGTTGTCTCTTAGCAGGTATGTGCAGTGCCTAGAACAAATCGGACCTGATCCTAATTGGGGCCTCTAGGCAACCATATTCCACACTTGAATCACTGTACTCTGTGGGGACCCTTGAAGAGCAGTACTTTTCCAGGATATGAATGTTGCTCTGTGGCCTTGTTGATCCTGTCAGCCTCTTTCAGTGGACACCAGTGCCCCAAGAGCCTCCCTCTTTTGCCCTTGTTGGGTCAGCACTGTTCTTTCCTGGAACCAGCACCCGTTCCAAGGAATGCCATTTCTTCCCCTCTGGGGGAGGTGGGCTTTGCAGGGACCCCACCAAAGCTGTTGATCTGCTGCCCTCTTGGCTGCATTTCCGTCCTCCTCCCTTCCTTTTTTGTTTTCTTCTTTGTAGTTACATTAAGATGAATGAACCAGTTGTGAAACCCCGAGGCCCTCCAGGGACAGATTTCAGATGTTTATTCTTCTCTCACCAATGAAAAGAGAAGGAAAGAAAATGATCAAAAAATCTGCTGCTGTGTCCAAGTGTATAATTAACCCTTTGGGGCCTGGAATGAGTCTGCATACAGGAAACCCTGCACTATCAGGAGCTCTGACTCCAGACATCAAAGGGTTAGTGTCAGCACTGAGTACTGGGAAGGTAAAAGAGGCCATTGTACAGCAGAGCCTGGTACCAGGTTTCTGGATGGATTCAGAGAGCACGTGTGAATACACTCGGTGTGGATGGCAACTCCTTCCCCAGATAGCCCAGTTGGAGGGATGGGGGATAGCTGGATGTACACAGCCCCACCACACGGCTCTCCAGATTCTTCACCAGCTGTGAATTCAGAGCTTCTCAGACCAGTGATTGAAAAAGAATCTGGTCAATTGACTCCTTTACTCAGAGTCATAGATTAGGCCAAGGGTTTCTGAGACTTTGACTCTTGCTTGTAAATAGGGCCGGCTCCAGGCACCAGCTAAGGAAGCAGGTGCTTGGGGCGGCCAATACAAAGGGGTCTTCGGCGGGAATTCGGCGGCAGGTCCCTCAGTCCCTCTCTTCCTCTTTGAGCTGCCGCCGAAGTGCTGCTGAAGAGGAAGAGAGGGAGTGAAGGACCTGTCACCGAACTGCCGCCAAAGAATGGAGCGGCTCGATTGAGCTGCCACCAAAGTGCTGCCAATCGTTTTTTTTTTTTGCCGCTTGGAGTAGCAGAAAACCTGGAGCCGGCCCTGCTTGTAAAACTGGGGTGCTGTTGGTTTGTGGATCTCTAAGGCCTTGTCTACAAATGCCTAGTGTAGCCTCTCTGGTGAGATCTGCACTGGTGTAAATAGTGCAGACTCCTGTAGACACAGATGCAGCTACATCAGGGGTTGAAATTCCAGTGTAGACAAGGCCTAAAACCTAGAAGGGATGCTGGCATTAGGTTGACCAATTCACTACCCATCCTGGCTATTAAATCCCCAAGCTCTGTTATGAAAAATATTAGATTATAGCCTTAGAAGCGATGAATCTATGAACCATCTTGGTCTGTTTCTACAGTAAGTTTGTTATGTCACCAAAAACCTTGAAACCCCCCAATTGGTTCTTTTAGCTTAAAGACAGGTTAAAAAAAAATCAAATTTTGTCTCCAACTCTTGCTTATTCTTTCCAAGTGGCTGAGCTGGTTTTTGTTACTTTTATCCCACTTTGGACAACCCTTAGTGTAGACCAGGGGTTCTCAAACTTCACTGCACTGCGACCCCCTTCTGACAACAAAAATTACTACAAGACCCCAGGAGTGGGGACCAAAGCCTGAGCCTGCCCAAGCTCTGCCACCCCAGGTGGGGAGAATCAAAGCCAAAGCCAAAGCCCAAGGGCTTCATCCCCAGGCCCCTGCCATCCAGGGTGGAAGCCCTCGAGCTTTGGCTTTGGCCCTGGGTGGTGGGGCTCAGGCTTTGGCCCTGGGCCCCAGCAAGTCTAATGCCAGCCCTGGCAACCCTACTAAAATGGGGTTGTGACCCACTTTGGGGTCCTGACCCATAGTTTGAGAACTGCTGGTGTAGACCTTGGTACAATATTCCCCTTCCCCTGCCTGGCAGAAAAGTGCATTCCCCTCCCTGCCACAACATCTCCCTCCCTCTTTGAGTTTGCATTTGCCTAGGATACTGCCCCAGTTCAGGGCCATCCCCTTCCTCCCCCTCCGCCCTCCTCCCCCCTGCTGCCAGGAGTCTGGAGGCTGTGTTCTCATTCCCTGCGGCTCTAGCACTTCCCAGCTCTAATGACTCTCTCTATTTTATAGAGACAAGGTGGGACTAGCATGGCTACAACAACCCTGCATACAACATCTGTGTGTTTTACTCCTCTCAGGTTACCTTCAAAAGGTGCTGAAGAACCACACAGCCCACGCCTGTGATGGGGAGCAACTGGGAGTCATTTGTCCCCACAAGACCTCCATTAGCATCCTATCTGCATTTTATGGGCGTCGAGTGCCCAGCCAGAACCTCTGCCCGAGCACTGGCAATATCTCTGGTGAGAGCATCATGTGTGTATCTGCCACAGCCCGCCAGGTAAAAGCAAAAACATCCTTGAAATTCACAAGTAACAACATTCTAAGGGACTGCAGGAAACCAGGGCAGTACCATGCATGGAGGTGTTCAGGGTGACATGGGATACTTTTGGGTTCAGGCAAGGGAGATTAGATTGTCTGATTGGGGGCCCCCAAAGTGCCCCCACATCTGCCAACTGGCCCTCAAACATTGTAGCCTCAGGTCCCATCCCAAAAAATGGTGGGTGGTTTGGGACCTTGTAGTGAACTCCCGCCCCTTACCTATACATGCAGAAGGAATTCAGGATGCTATTTTACCAGTGGAGTGATGAAAGGTACTGACACAATGGGACCTTCTGTGATGGATTGGGTGGGGTTCACCTCCTGGAACTGCATTTGAAGATATAAACCTAGGAAGAGGCGTTACAGATTCATTTTAACCAAGATGAATTTTGGAATAGGCATACAAAAAATTAATGGTGAGAAATTTATCCATGTTAGGGCTTAACCCAGAGACGAAGGATGGTCCAGTTGCTGTGTAACCCCCAAAAATTGATTCTGGGATGCCGCTCTAATAATCTATCCCCATTAAACTGTCCTTCCCGAGATATAAGTTTCCGGGGTTGTTAAGGAAACGCTAAAGGACACGGATATAACCTTCGGATAAAGAAATTGACACAGAAAGTATTGTTTTTCAAAACAACGTATCTAATAATCCCTAATACACTGTATCCTAAAAATTCTAAACAAAAAACACAAAATCCCTTGTTGCAAGTTTAAAGAGCATTTAAACCACAATAGTATATAGTTTATGATTCTAAGCAAAGTGCTTTGTTACAAGTGGCCAGTTTGTAACAAATCGCAGACAGTTGTTCTTTAAATCAGTGGTTCTCAACCTTTCTAGACTACTGTACCCTTTTTAGGTGTCTGATTTGTCTTCTGTACCCCAAGTTTCACCTCACTTAAAAACTACTTGCTTACAAAATCAGACATAAAAATACTAAAGTGTCACAGCACACTTACTGAGAAATTGCTGACTTTCTCATTTTTATCATATAATTATAAAATAAATCAATTGGAATATAAATATTGTACTTACATTTCAGTGTGATATTGAGCCTGTTTTTTTCACTTGTGAGCCTTGTCTGAAGCCCAAGCCTTGCTGTCCAGGGCTGAAGCCCTGCTTGCCACCAGCTGATTTTGGCTCTGCACTTGCAACCCCATCCCGTGACCCCCATGGAGGCTTCAAACCCCAGGTTGAGAAACACTGATCTAGATGAGTTGAGTACCTCCTGGAAGACCTTTGAGTACCCCTGGTTGAGAACCACTGCTTTAAATTTCACACAAGTAAAATACAATTAAAAGACACACACTTCTAGCATACACATGTTAAATACTATGCTAGACTACACTACACTAAAAATTATATTAAAACTGGCAAGCTTACTTTATAAATCCATTGGTATCCCTTTATATCACTACTGCTGCTGTGATAAATCTTTTACTATTCTTCTTTAATTGCAGTTCAGCTCCTGGTCAGTCAGCTCTGCTCTGTCTCTCTCTCCTGCAGCTTTTCTGACTTCTTTGGCTTCTCTTACTGGTTTCCAGTTCCTCCGTCTGCTCCCCACTGAATTCCCCCCTCTCTCTCTCTCTGACTCGGACTCTGAAACTGCCTGCTGGCAGCTGACCTTTTATGGTGCACCTGTGGCTCTCTCCTAATATACCTTTCTATTCTTAGAAGCAATTACTCACTTGCACATGCCCAGTATCAACCATTAATTTAGGAAATGTAAATTTCAGAGATTTAAATAAGAAAGATCATGATTTTTAATTTGCTGGGGCTAATATAGAACCAAAGGAAATCATTGTTTTCCTTTGACTCTGGATACTCGAGCCATGTATGGTGGAGGTGAATGCCAAGAGATTCTTTGAGAGGTGCTTTTATTGTGTAGAGTCCAATGGCAAAAGAATTTTTAAACCTGATTAAATACTTCCTTAACATTGCACTTTTGCTGGGAAGAGATCTGCCTTCACATGGGCTTATGAAGGAAAGAGATTGTGTGTCAAAGAGTCAGAAAGCCAGATAGAGGCACAGGTTCTTTGACATTAGCAGTAACTAACTTTTCATTCTGTGTGTCACCATTTTAAGGAGGGGTGTCTGGATAAGAAACTAGGAGATATGTTGGGGTTTTAAAGCAACTGAACCTCACCCACCCCACTAGGTTCTGACAACTACTGTGAAAATTGTTTGAGGTGGGTGGCATCCTCTGACTGTCTGGAACATGCAGTGACTTTTCTAACACCAGTTAGATCCTCATCACAATCACAGTGGAATGTTTTTATTTAGTGACAGGCCATTTCACCATTTAGTGCAAGATGATCTTCATCCTCTTCATTTAATAGAAACATTCTTGACTGTCCCAGCTGACATATCAGGGAGTCAAAATGGGGCTATGAGCCTAGACTGATCCTGGGTCTCTGATCTCATGAGCCAGGGGACTTTATACTTGTGAAATCTTATTGCCTCTTGTTGGCTTATCTTGGGGATAGGATGCAGCTGGGTTTTGCTATTGAATTGAGAGCTATGACTTGTTTTGTAACTGAGTCTATGGTAACACCACTAAGCTCCTTTTTACTCACCATCACCTCCTTGTTCTAGATTCACCAGGAGAGTGGAAATCCTTGTCCTTGTGCCTTTGGCTGCCAAGGGCAGCTGGACTTAAAGAGAATATTAGAGCAAGAGGTGTGCAGAGCAGCCCAGGAGAACTAAGAGCTGATCAGAACCTTCCTTATAACCTCAGACTGAACCTTTCATAGTACACGTCTCACTAATAAGAGCAACCCTCCATAGGCAGTTAGGAGTGCCCTGGATGTCATGTTCCCTGAGTCAGGAATAGAATAAGGAATGAGGTCGACCGGGGATAGCAGTGTTACCATCTCCCCATAGCTCATAGTTATCATTCGTCTGACGAAGTGGGTATTCACCCACAAAAGCTCATGCTTCGATACATCTGTTAGTCTATAAGGTGCCACAGGACTCTTTGCTGCTTTTACAGATCCAGACTAAGGGTACGTCTTCACTTACCGGAGGGTCCGGCGGCAGGCAATCGATGTTCTGGGATCGATCCCGGAAGTGCTCGCCGTCGACGCCGGTACTCCAGCTCGCCGAGAGGAGTACGCGGCATCGACGGGGGAGCCTTCCTGCCGCGTCTGGACCGCGGTAACTTCGGACTAAGGTACTTCGAATTCAGCTACGTTAATAACGTAGCTGAATTTGCGTACCTTAGTCCGAAGTGGGGGCTTAGTGGGGACCAGGCCTCACATGGCTACCCCTCTGATACTAGAGTTATCATAGTTATCCATCCAGAGTAATTCATCACCACTCTTAACGTGGGTGACCGTTGGGGCAATCCCCTCAACCCTCAGAATCAACTAACTTTCCTGGCTGTCTGGAAACCAACCTGATTTCAATGAAAATAATGGTGCTGATAATGAGCATAAATCACACAACTCTTTCGAAGATTCCCCAGCGCAGCAGCTCTAGTTCTTTGTCTGCCATTTCACTTTTGACTTAATAAACACACCAAAGGCTTTTCACCCATGGGCTGGGCTTTCAATTTGCAACTTTTGTTCCCCATCAAACGTCTCACATCAGCCTGAGCTGTCCTTGTGTTGTGCCTCTCTTTAGTTACAACACTCTGGCCCATCAACCCAGCTAGAGAAGGGTAGGGTAACTCCCTGGTTTCCCTCCAGGGACTGAATCTCCCTGGCCAATCCAAGTATGCAAACTAGGAAATATCATCTGGTCCAGCTGCTTATCATTTTAATCATGGATAAGCCTGTGATTCTGTCACAGAGGTCATGGAAGTCACAGATTCCAGGACTTTCTGTGACCTCCGGGACTTCCAGAACAGTTGATACGGCTGACTCCAGGGCCACTCGAACAGATGGCCCCAGGACCAGCTGCTCCGGTGTCCCACGGCCAGCCACACCGGCCGCTGCTGGAACGGCCCCGGGGCCAGCTGCTCAGGCTGTCCCCAGGGCCAGCCGCATCGGCTGCTTCTTGAGTGTCCCCCGGCAGCTGGCTCCAGGGAGCGCCGGGGCCCCCTGAAGCAGAGATTCAGTCATGGGTATTTATAGTAAAAGTCATGGACAGGTCTCAGGCTGTGAATTTTTATTTATTGCCCGTGACCTGTCCATGACTTTTACCAAAAATACCTGTGACTAAATCTTAGCCTTAATCATGGATTGAGAGGCATAGTATTCACCAACTGACTCCTGCATGGGCATTGAAATGGCTCAGTTGTTTCTTCAGCAAACTTTACTGGCTTATTTTAGTTGGTCCTTCTGAAGCCCCACCCCCAAGCTCTGCATAGCCAATGGGGACAGGAACCCTGTGCTTATCCACTTCCGGGTAATCTTTTTCTATGAACATTGAGGACGAGCTGTGACCCTAGCTGTATATATCACATTGTATGTATTATGTTTATTGATTGCAGGGTCCATTGACTTAAGGTATTGAGGCTTAAGAGTGAAATGGGTCAAAGTTGTTTTCCATATGTGTCATTACAGATACAGTGTAGAGGGAACCAGTCACCAGGTTTGGAGGCTTATTGAGTTATTTGTCATTATGGCCTGTAGCCATCAGTCCCCTATTCCTGCCACTTGTGGGGCCCACTGACTTTCCCTTACTCACCACAACCAGCATGCAGGGCATTTCTTAGGGGGCTTTCTAAACCAAGTGCTCTGGGGAATGTGCCCTTCCCCTCCCCCCCCCGCCTCTCACGAGGTCAGAAGGCTGCCGGCCCTTTAAGGGAAGTCCCTATGCTAGAGGCATGAAGTCATTCAAGCCTCCAGTGATCTCATTGTACACAAAGATGCTAGGATTAGAACCAAAGAAATGGTATGTAAATAACAGCTCTGGTGTGACACTCCATCAAGGGTCACCCTAGGGCTAAGTACAAGGAATAAGAGACACCTCACAATTTTAGAGAGCACTTTCTCACCCTCCTAGGGGGTCTCAGAGACACCACTCTGTGGCTTTCAGCTCAGCCCAGCACACATATACATTCCAGGTTTCTATCTGGCCCCACCATGGGAATCAGTAATGCACTTATCCCAGCAGCCCTCTGTGAGGCAGGGCTATGTGTCTCATTTTACAAGGTGTGGAATTAAGGCTCAGAGAGATTAAGGAGTTTGTCCATAGTAACATGTGGCAGAGGAGGGAATCAAACCCAGGTCTCCCCCAGCCTAGACAAATGCTCTAATCACTGAACCATCCTTTCTCTCTGCAGCATGCCTGGCTTGTCTGCTGGGGTCTAGCCCTGAACTGATCCAGGATTGTCTCCAGGGCGGTAGCTAAACTCTCTCATTGCCTAGTCTACCTTTGCATCTCATCACCTCTACTAAGCATCCTGGATCTTGCAGGCTGCCTGCTTTTCGGGGTAGTCATAAAGACCAGGCTTTGGCAAATGTCTTGTCTTGGTGTGTGGGGTCACCCTTAAACCAGTGCAGCCTGCTTTGAAAGATGCAGGGCAGATATAACACCAGATCGGAATGACCTGATTGGATACACAGCCCTCAGACAGTGGAGTCCTGTCAGGGGCCTTGGATTTCATGTGGCATTTTTCTATTGTCATATCTAGTGTAGGCTCTTGCCAGCACTGGTTTTAGAAACAACGGACACCTGAAAGAGTGTGCATGGGCACAGCAGTAGAAGAGACACAGAGAGTCATATATGGCCCAGAAGTGAAACAGCAGCTCTTAAATTTTGGAGTGTCTGGGACTCTAAGGCCTCTTTGCCTGCACATGTTCCTTTCGGCTGTGGTTTCATTGCTAAGTTCAGTACTACCCCCTCATTGTACATGGGGATCTGTAAGTGCTAATACAGAATGTTTTGCCCTAGGCTTCCACTTGTTCTGCCCATAGTAAATAGGAGAGCTGTGCTGCTCCAGGCCGGTAGTGTCCTTTTAAAATAATTCTTCTCAACATGTGTCTCCATCGGTGGAGCTTTGGAAGCTAGGTAGGGAGAATGTCAAAGAATTGTTCCATATTGGCTAAATTTAAAGTAGCATCAGTAGATAGAAAGGGATTATTGTATGTGACCTTTCTGGTTTTAGCTTTTTCCTAAAAAATAAATAAAAAAAATAAAAAAGGCTTCAGGGAACCAGGAAACCATATTTGGCACTGGTGTGGCCGTTGCTGGAATATTGTGTCCTGTTCTGGTGCCCACAATTCAAAAAGTGTGCTGATAAACTGGAGAAGGGTCAGAGAAGAGTGATGAGAAAACTTAAAGGATTGGAAAACCTGCCTTGTGGTGATAGACTCAAGGAGTTCAATCTATTTAGCTTAACAAACAGAGGTTAAAGGTTTCAGAGTAGCAGCCGTGTTAGTCTGTATCCGCAAAAGAACAGGAGTACTTGTGGCACCTTAGAGACTAACAAATTTATTTGAGCATAAGCTTTTGTGGGCTACAGACGCATCCGAAGAAGTGGGCTGTAGCCCATGAAAGCTTATGCTCAAATAAATTTGTTAAGTCTCTAAGGTGCCACAAGTACTCCTGTTCTTTTTAGAGGTTAAAGGGCGACTTGATTAGTCAGTAGACCATGGGGAACAAACATTTAATAATGGGCTCTTCAGTCTAGCAGAGGAAGGTCTTACACAATCCAATGGCTGGAAGTTGAAGCTAGACTAATTCAGACTGGAAATAAGGCAAACATTTTTAACAGTGAGTAATTAACCACTGGACAATGTACCAAGAGTCATGGTGGATTCTCCATCACTGACTATTGTTAATTCAAGAAGGGATGTTTTTCTAAGAGATCTGCTCTAGGACTTATTGTGGGGATGTTCCCTGGCTTGTGTTATACGGGGGTCAGACCAGATGATCACAATGGCCCCTTCCCACCTTGGAATCTGTGAATCTCTGAAAAGACTGGAGTAAGATAAATGAGAAATAGGCTCCTGACTCTCTAAATCTTTCCCCTGTCCTCTGAGTGAATGGCAGCTGTAGGGGTCAGGCCAGAACTTCTTGGGTTGACCACAGGCTCAGAATGCAGTAGATTAGTTTAGATTAAATGAGGTTAGACCAGCCAATCAGTTCTTATCCCTGATTTGGCTATTTCTGGGTCTCCCAATGCCATTCCCGGCTGCTACCAAGCTTTCAGTAATGCCATTCTGGGGTGGGTTTTTTTCCTTGCCCTCTGCAAAGCTGGGAACAGGCACCCAGGCACTCCCATTAGAAAAAATCCCCAGCATCTTGCTGCAGGCTCTTCTAAATCTCTCTCTAGAGTTGGTGAACTGTGGAGCCTAGGGAGCTCTGGAAACGCTCGTACAGAGTTAAGCTCCTCCTTGCTCTGCCTATTCAATGGAAGAGCTGACATTGTCCTCTTAAAATAATTCTTTCAAATCTGGTTCCACCTCATGCCTGGCTTTGGTTGCATATATGGGGCTTCCATTGACTGAGGTTGGAGCAAAGCCAGTATTTTACCTAAGGACTGCAGTGAAAATGAGCCTTCTCTGTGTGTGCTAAACCCCATGTCTCTGGGATGCATGGGCTCTGCTGAGAGTAGTGGGGAGGGACTGGGGAATGTTTCCCCCAAGGAGCTCACCATATTGAAGTCCAAAGCAGGAGTGCCTCCATCTTGGGACAATCACCCCCAAACTTCTTTTCAAACTGGTTGTTGTATTTTAAGAAGGGGCTTTTGAGCGCCTGCTCCAGCCCATCACTGGAGATCACGCAGGATGACTAACGCCATGACCCTTGGATTAGTTCAGCTCAGATCCTGCATGCTGCAACCAACTCCATCCTTTGCTGGAAACAATCCGCACAGAACTCCTCAACAGCCACGTCTGAATTTATTTTCTGTGTACGTTGATGGGTGTCTTTAGCCTCATTGGAGCACTGCTCCTTTAAAATACCTGACGCTGACCTGCTCAGCTCTGGGCCAGGAGGTCATGGGCTCAAATCCTACATGTCCCATGAGTTCAGGTCTGGAGCTTCGACCCAGTGCTGTCACTGTGGGGCATTTCTGTGTGGGTGTTGCACTGAGCACTCTTCTATTAACCTTGGTGTCTTGGTCAGTGTTCCTTCTTTGAGCATAAAACCAAGTGCTACAAGCCATAGCTTTCGGTGAGCTGCTGCTGTTGAGCTAAAATAGCTGTTGTGTTATAGTCTCTGGCTGCAGTGTTTGTGCTGCCAGCATCTAACTCAAGGATTTCTCTGTAAGACCAAATTCTACTCATATGCATCCGAAGAAGTGGGCTGTAGTCCACGAAAGCTTATGCTCTAATAAATTTGTTAGTCTCTAAGGTGCCACAAGTACTCCTGTTCTTCTTTTTGCAAATTCTACTCTGTTCAGGGAGCAACTGAGTTGCAGCCAGTAATTGTGTTTGCTTGTTGAACTGTGCCTGTGAAGGGAGGAAGTGCCATCTAGTGGCCAGTGCCTGTAATAATCTATGCTGTTGAGAGTATATCACTTACCCGCTACTGAAAAGCAGCTGCGCATTCATGACACTGGAGCGGCGCACGCAGCATTGTAATGCAAGACAGAAAAAATAAGCTGGCAGTCTTTAAACTGTGTGCAAGACCTCATTGGCAAAGTCTGATTTAAAAGCCTGATGCCTAGTGGCTGCAGTAAAAGAAACAGGTCGGGAGAGCCCTGAGCCAAAGAGTGAGAAAGCAGCAATACTTTTGAATGATGCAGGATCTCTTCTTAGCTTAGGGTCCCTTTGGTCTGTCTGCTGATGAGCTAAGTTTCCAACAGTGTTCAGTATGTCTGAATGCCTTTACCTGGGAAGCTAAGGAGATTAATATACATCTACAATGTCCAGCAAAACTGTGGCCCTATTTTCCTAATTCTCCATCTTTTGCAATACGAAGCACTTGAATTGTTTGAAGAAATCTATCCTTGGTTGGGACATGATCTAGCCATCTTGTTATACAAAGTGGTAGCTCTGTCCACCTCTTGAAACACACACAAATTGATTCTATAGGCATAACATTGCTATCATTTTTTATTCTTACTTTTATCGTAAATGGTATTTACGGTATAGTAAAAATGTTTGACTTTGAAGAAGGCATCGCCAATCTGAAAAGTGTTGAGAAGACTGGCCTAGAAGTTGGAATAAATGCCATGGTTAATGGAACCGGCAGATGGTTTTAACTTGAGACGAGCTGTGAACGTGGGGGCAGAGAAATAGTACAAAGGGACTGGATCAATGAAGCAGGACTGGAAGGGAGCTCCTGGGTCACCACACCCTGTCCCTTGCTGTTGCTGGTAACCCCTACCATATAATCCAGTCATAAATTTATCAAGATCCCTCTTACTCCCAGTTCCATTGTTATCCCCACTGCTCTTGTTGGGAGGCTGTTCCAGAACCTCCCTCCTCTGACGGTTAGAAGCCTTCTTCCAATTTCCAACCTAGATTTATTCATGGCTAGTTTATCCCCATTTGTCCTTGGCCCACCATTGTCCTTTCGCATCTATAGCTCTCCTCCCTCCCTGGTGTTTGCTCCTGATGGATTTAATAGAGCACAACCAGCTCCCCACTAAACCTATGTTGGTTTAGTACAGCTCTTCCAGCCTCCTTGCATGAAATCGGCCCTTCCTTCCCCGATCATCCTTGTAGCCCTTCTCAAGGCCAGTTCCCGTTTGAATGCATCTTTCCTAAATCATAGAATATCAGGGTTGGAAGGGACCTCAAGAGGTCATCTAGTCCAACCCCCTGACTGATTTTTACCCCAGATCCCTAAATGGCCCCCTCAAGGATTGAACTCACAACCCTGGGTTTAGCAGGCCAATGCTCAAACCACTGACCTATCCCTCTAGGAGTGACTAGAATTGTGTGCAGTATTCCAGATGAGGCCTTGTGCAATGGTTTTAATATATGGGCAGAAAATAACCAGATTAGATTAAATTTGGAATAATCCAGGCCAGTATCTCTGTGAAAAGATAATTTGAAGGGTAGATATTCAATGGGAGGGTGAAGTCTGGAAAGCAGTAATCCTAAAAGAGATCATGGGGTGATAGCAGGTCTGGCCCACTTTACAGATGGGGGTTGCAACTATCTGCTCCTACCCCATGGCCAAAGCCATACTATCAGGTGATGGCGTGAAGAGGAAGGGTATCCTTAGATAAGGATCAGTGGGCGAATAGACGCACCGTGGAGGAAGAGGCCCAGCAAGAGAGCAGCCAAGGAGGCCACCTGGAGTTAAGTACATTAAAAATAGTTTCCGGTCTCTTTACATCTTCTTCCTGCTGTTAGAGTGGCTGGCCCAGACTGGGGTTGGGCTGGCCCTTCCTGGATCAATGACAGGCTCAGAATTCAGCAGGGAGCAGCAGTGTTCGGGGGAGGAGTTCTGTGCTCAGTAGAGGGGCCTGAAACCAGACTGGGCCTGCAGGATTTCTTAGAAGTGACCTTGTCAATCACGACCGGATCACTCTTTACCACTGTGTGCATTGGGTGTTATGTGTGTCTCCCTTGGTTTAGCTTTATGCAAAGGCCTGTGGTCACACTGCCCATCACAGGGCAGCATGGCCAACCCTGAGCATCACAAATCATAATCAAGCCCAAGAAGGACGGGAGAGAAGTGCAAGGGGATTTGAGGAAAGGTTCAAAGAGCTAAACTAAGGAGGAGGGCTCATGATACAAATATGGGAAGGCTGTAAACATGATTTGTGTCATTCCCAGAGAGATGTGGCTGTATGTCCTGAGATGAAGAGAAGACAGAGACAAGTCAGGCTGGCCTATTTCAAATGCAGCCACCAGGACAATATATTAAACAGCCCAAAAAAGAAGGGGAGTCAGTGGGAGCAATTGAACTAAAGTGATATTTCATTGTAAGGTTTTCTCTTTAATAGATTCCAAGACCATTGTGATCATCCAGTCTGCTCCACTCAGTAATGTCTTGTCAAGAGGAGATTGCTTGCTTGGCAGTTTTTAAAATGGTTTGAAAGGTTCTTATGGAGGAAACGGTCAGCTATAGAAGTCAGCACTTGCGTGGTTGTTGCAGTCTGATGCTTTGCTAGCAACGTAGAGCTTGGGAGTGGCAGCAGCAGGTCACTGTCACCAGGGCTACATGCACTTTGCCTGGCTCTGTTATTATAGAGGTGTTCTAGGGTATGTCAATGTGACCTTAGGATTTCTAATGTTAAATTCATATCTGTTTCCCCTTCTGCCCCCACCCCTCCACAGAAACTTCTGGATGAGTGCCAGGACCAGCGCTGGTGCCAGTTCTCTGTGCATAGTCCAGTGTTTGGGCCCGACCCGTGTCCCGGGACACACAAGTACCTGATAGTTTCATACAAGTGCAGACCAGGTGAGCTCTGCAAATGGCTTTAAAGTGCAAAGGAGGGTTTTGCTTAGCATCCTCTCTGTTTTTTCCATAGACTATTGGTGCAGTCAGCACTATAAGTGTACCAGAGGCAAGAAGGGGATTCATTGTCTTTGTCAATCCATTGTCAATTACCGCACCTGTGTCCTGGACAGATCATCCTTCTCCTGAAGAGAGAGAGAGATCATAATTTTTTTGCTTGTCTTGCAGTAGCATTCCAAGGTCTCAGTCCAGATCAGGCCCTATTGGACAATGTGCTGTGCAATCACACAGGAAGACAATGGTCTCCATTAAGGAGCCTAAACTATGCCGTGTAATGTAAGTGACACAGATAAATAGTCAAAGCAAACAGTTTCCAAAATCCCATAGGATGAAAAATATCTGCCAAATCATTTAAGCAAATGCTAACAAATAGCTAGTGCATTCACCAGCTGGTTGCAGAGAGAACAGCGAAGGGAATTGCTCAGTCTCTTGGTTTCTTCTTGTTAGGTGTTTTATGCACTGATTGGGAAGGGATGCTTTTAGGCCAAATGGGAGGAGCTGAGAGCTGCCACTTCGGAGAGGGCTACATAAAATTTGCTTTCTGACTTTCGGAATGGTAAAGGCCTATCTGTTAATGATGCAACAGAATACTGTGTAATGTTGTTTCCCAGCTAACCACCGCATTAAGACCGTGTGTGAGAATGACAAGCTGAGGCTGCAGTGCAGGGCTAAATCTGTCCTAGCAATTTACTCCGCAAGCTATGGCAGATCCATGCGGGGCAAACCAGAGTGTGACTCTGCGAACAGGACTGGACTCAATGTAGGTATGTTGGGAAGGTGTGAACTAGAAATCTGGCGGGGCCCCTTTCACGTTGAAGAATCTGGAACTCATTGCCAGGGGATGTTGTGGAGGCCAAAAGTGTAATTGGGTTAAAAAAAGAACTAGATAAGTTCCTGGAGGATAGGTTCATCAATGGCTATTAGCCAAGATGGTCAGGGATGCAACCCCATGTTTTGGGTATCCCTAAGCTTTGATTGACAGAAGCTGGGCATGGACAGGGGATGGATCACTCACTAACTGCCCTGTTCACTCCCTTTGAAGCAAGTGGCATTGTCCACTGTTGGAAGACAGGATACTGGGCTGGATGGACCATTGGTCTGACCCAGTATGGCCGTTCTTATGTTCTTAATAAGTCATTACGCTGTCAGAGACATTACATTGGGCACAGCCATATCACTGCTGTGTGGGCATCGAGACATACACGCTCCCAGCCAAGACCCCATATTGCTAGGGATAGATGACTGCCACCCAGGCACAGCACTGCACTCACACACAGCCAGCTCACTGCTGCATGGGCGCTGGGATATACAGTCTCTCAGCCAGCTCGCTGCCATGTGGGCTGAGGGAGTATGCATATAATCAGCCACATGGACACAATACATGCACCCTTCCTTCACAGCCAGCTCCCTGCTCAGTGGGCAGGGAGACATGCGATCCTGACAAGGTCACCAATATGGGCTCATTCATATACACTCCTATGTGGTGCATGTGAATGGGATATTACAGACCAAGTATGGCTTTGGGCTACATGGTTTCCAGAAGCTTTTCTGCCTGCTACTGAGAATGCAGGGGCCACAGCCTGGTGACCACCTGGTCTATATTTCCAGAGTGCTTAGCTCCTGATGCCTTGAGGAGAGTCTCTCGGAAGTGTCACAGGAAGGAGAACTGCACCATCTTGGCTAACAAGGCCACCTTTGGTGACCCCTGCTTCCCTGGCGTGAAGAAACAGCTGAGGGTCTCCTATACATGTGGTAAGAGTCCCCAGTCACCCTGACACTGCCCTGGGGAGGGGCTGGAAGGACTTCAGCAAGTGCTTTACGATGTACAACACGGAGAGCGGGGGCGTTTTGAGGACTAAGGGCACCTGTTGGCCTAGCAAGCCAATAGCATAGCTGTTGAGGCTGCCGGGCAGGGTCAGTTTAGATGAGAGTGGTGCCATATGTCTCCTTGAGAGATGCTTGTGCATTCTGTCAACAGCAGGCTGAGAACTATAGAAACGGCTACAAAGCTGAGCCCCCGAGAAACAAGACAGATGCTGAGCAGCTGTTGCTCTGTCTCCTCCTCTTGTGGCATGGATCTTTAACCACATGCATGCGGGTGGGGAGTGGGGAAATGGGAAGCTTCAGGGTGCACAGATACAGACAGAAGGTGAATCCTCAAAGCTCCCCATTAGATGAAATATTTTTGTCTTTCTCTGTAAGTAGCAAATCGTAAGGATCTGAGGGCCCATGAAAGCAAGGTTAACATCCAGCCAGCCAGGGCATGGGTAGGTTCTATGCAAGCTGCCTCTCCCACCATGGCTCCAGGGCCGATGCAACCACTAGGTGAACTAGGCGGTCGCCTAGGGCGCCAAGATTTGGGGGCTCCAAAAAGCGGTGCCCCCCAATTTTTTTTACAGCGTTTCAGCCTTCCACCACCCCCCGTGCTTTCCCCAAGTGTCCCCCGGCCCCCAGAAGCGTCCCTGCCCCTCTCCTGCAGCTCCACACTGCCTCAGTTCTGCTCTGCTCCCAGCATCAACTGCTGCCACAGGGTCCTAGTGCCCTCACCTACTAGTGGCAGGGCAGGCTGCCCTTCCCCTGCCCTTCCCCCTCAGACCCTTCCCTTTTCTGGTGGGACCCTCCACCAGCACAGCCCCCGCCCCCTGCCCACAGTCACCGCTTCTGCCCCACACTGGGCAAGGGTCACCCCCAGTGAGGCTACAGTGAGGGGCAGCAGCAGGGGAGGAGGCGCACCTGTGATGGCAGCCCCCCAACAGCACCCACCACTGGGGAGGCGAGGGGGCTTCCTGGACCTGAGAGGGGCGCTAGGAGCACATGCAGTGACAGTGGTGGAAGGTGAGTGTGCTACTGGGGTGGGGGGGGGAAAGTGGGGGCCCCTCCCCCAGAACTCACTGCTGCTGGCAGAGAGAGGGCTTGGGGGAGTTCTCATCCCCCTGCACCCTAATCCTCTGCTCAGCCCTGAGCCTCCTCCCAAACCCTAAACCCCTCATCCCCAGCCCCACCCCACAGTCCTCACCCCTCCAGCCCCACCCCCTTCCCACACACCCTCTCTGCTCCCAAACTTCCTCCCAGAGCGTGCACTCCAGCCCTTCACACACCCTCCCAGAACCTGCACCCCTCACCCCCTCCTGTACCCCCACCCTCTGCCCCAGCCCAGAGCCTGCACCCAGCACCCAAACTCCCGCCCAGAGCCTGCACCCCAGACTCCCTCCCCCACCCAAACTCCCTCCCAGATCCTGCACCCCAATTTCCTGCCCCAACCCAGGGCCTGCACTCCAGACCTTCTCCCCCAACCCAAACTCCCTCCCAGAGCCTTAGGCAGATGGGGGGGCAGAGTTTGGGGAGGCGGGTTCTAGGCACCACCAACATTTCTACAAACCTGCCACCCCTGCCAGTATGTGGGTTTTAAGCCCTGTTATGCCTGCAACAGGCCTAAGCCTGTGAGTGACCCCCATAGCAGCTGCCTGAAGTGCTTGGAGGAATCACACATGAAAGACAAGTGTTGGATTTGTAAAAACTTTCGTCCGAGAATGCAGAAGGAGCATGATATTCGTTTGAGGGCTCTCCTCATGGGGGCTGCGCTCTGCCCGGCGCAGGACTGCAGTCTCGGCAGGACTCTAGGCCCAGCACCTCGGCCTCGGTTTGTAGTGCACCCCTGGCACCGGGCTGAGTCTGGCACCGCTATCCCTTCCAGTGCCCAAGAAGCAGTCAAAAAAGTGGGACTCCCTGGCACCAAGCAAAAAGGGTCAAGGGACATCGGACAAAGGACCTAGTTCAGGCCACCTGCCCACCCCAGAGCCGCATGGGGGTTTCTCTCCGATTGGATCCACTAGTCTCCCCAGGGATCCACCACTGACTCCCGGGAGTGGCGTGGGATCCAAACTCACTATTGTGCGAATATGAGTGTGTAGATTATTGAAATTTGTCATATTGATATTGTCAGTTGTTGTTGTATGACATTCTAATTTTATAAATTGTATTAATAACAATAATTGGATACTCTAAAGGTAGAATAAAATGTAGTAGATTTTATATGAAAAAAGGAAATATATGTGACTAAAAAGGGTGTATTTCTGAAAGTATTTTGAAAGTTTATAATAAGTGATGGTCCAGGGGGAGGGAAGGGAGAAGGGGGGGTGCAAGGTGGAAGTTTCACCTTGGGCGCAAAATATCATTGCACCAGCCCTGCATGGCTCTACCACATACTGGCCTCCTGACTTGCAGCACCCCCTGGGAGCTTTACCAATGCGCCTCCATCCTGCCAGTAGCTGCTATTCCAGCCCGGGGTTTGCTCTCTGCCCAATACAGACAAGGATGACACGTGACTTACTGAACTCATGTCTTTGGTGGTCAAGGCCAAGGACATTATTTACCCAACCTGGCCCCTCCCTCCTTGACCCACAGAATTCTCCCGGTCAGACTGAGGATGGCACCTGTGCTGTCTCTTCGCCCACTGCTTTGACATAGGGAAATATTTTGTATGTAAATTTCTGGCAGTAGTGGGTTGGTCCTGCTCTGTCCATACACCCCTCACCTGAGGTACCTGTGCAGCCTTCATGTCTCCTCTCCATCCCTGGCTGCTACCCCCATCCCAGGGGTTCTTCATGAGCTGCCCTTTCAGAGCAGTCTCCTTTCTCATTTCAGTGCCAAGGCAGCTGTTTGAGGAGGTGGGCCAGGATTCTCCAGACCCCTTCTCGCTCTCCGACTACACACATGGTAAACACTTGCTGTTCCCTTGGAGCTGTGCTGTGTGGGCTAAGGAAGGCTCTTGTTTGAGTGTCAGGTTGGGGTTTCCTGGCTGGCTGGGGACCGCATGTGTGTGATGTGCCAGGCTGGCTCCTCTCACACAGGCTGTGCGCTGGAAGGTTTGCCCAAAATCTGGCTCCTGCATCGCAGTGAAGAGGGGAAGTCCCTGAGCCAGGCACTTCTACCCTCCATGAGGAATGCAGTCCGAGTCCAGAGAAAGGGAAGCAGAAACCTAAATCAGGGCCTTTTACCTCCATGGACCAGGCTGATGGTCACAGGGCTCACAGAGATTCAGTTCATGTGCCTATTCTAGATGTGCTGACAGAAGGAGGGCTCTATTCCCTTCTTTACTCACACAGCCTCTGTGTCTCCTGTGTGTGGGAAATTACTTTGAGCTCCCTGGCCTGGTTATACAGGCAGTTCAGTGCAGTGCTGGTCACTAGAATGGCTCATTCAGTCTTTGATTTCTTAGTGCTGCTCCATCAATGCTCTTGCTAGACCCCAGCTGTGCCCTGTGGTGGCTCCTCTCCACTGGGAATTCATTCACCATGTTTGTTCTCTCCTGGGTATCACACACTCTCCCAGCTCTTCCTGGGGACTCCACCTTCTTCTTGACTAAGGGCAGGTTTCAGTCCCCATAGTTATCTGGGTGTGGGCTAGGATCCCAGCCCAATGCTGCAGGGTGCATTTTGCCAGTGGCAAAAGGGAAGTGGAGTTGCTCTGTGAGGCGTGTCTCTTTGGTGGATTTGAAGCACCCTGCGCGGTAGCAGTGGCAATGAGGTTGCACTGGGAGTTCATGCCATGGCAGATGAATTAGAGAAAAGGCAGCAGGTGGAAGGCTAGCAAGAACTGGGAAGAGACCTCCTCCACACCACCGCCTCCACACACACTTAGCTTTGTAACATTTTTTCATGAGGAAAACCAAGGTTGCAAAACCAGGAGTGAGATCTAGAGGATGTGGCCAAATGGTCTGGCAATAACATGGGGATCTCTGGAGGGGAGATGACAGATGAGCACAGACCAGCCGGGAGAAGTGAGCAAAGTGACAGATAGGAGAAGCACTGCGGCCTGCAGAGGAGGGGTGCCTCAGAACATAGCAAAGGGGAGTGGACTATGGAAGAGTTAAGGGAAGAACAGATCTGAGGGGGAGAAAAGTGGCCAAGAGCAAAGGAAGACTAGGAGGAGCTAGAGGAGAAGGTTCGGAACATGGCATGGAGGAGAGAGAGATGGTAGGGGGAGAGCGAAGAGTGGGAGCGCAGACAATGGGAGGAGCTGTGAGTGGATGGGAAGAACTTAGGGATGGGATGGTGAGGATCATGGAAGAGAAATGTGCCGAGTGCCTGGGAGGAGCAGAGCTGAGGCGGGAGGGGTGGGAGTGAAAGTTGACAGATATGTGGTGATAGGTTAAGGTTCAAGTCCACAGAGTGGATGAGGGCGTTGAGAAGCGCCTCGCTCCTGTACCCTAGCCAGTAAGACCATGTCCCCTTGTTCACTGCAGGTGGCTGGTACCATGGGCCGATGCTGTCCAGGCTCCGTGAAGATCTGATGATTTTTACTAGCTCTCTGAAAACGTTTGCCCATCTCTGGGGTATGTGAATTCACTGAGCGTGTGCACAGTGCTCTGTGGAGAGGGTGCAGGCAGAGAGTCACATTCCAGTCTGTCTCTCTTGCTTTAGCGTGCCGGGAGACACGGGCATGTTAAGGGGCACTTGGCGAAGAGCCCGCAGCACCGTGCGCTCCCTTTATGACCATCAATGCTCCTCTGGTGTAGGCTGGTCATTAAAGCCACATCCAAGATACATCCGTAGGGGTGGAGCAATGTCATGGAGACTCAAGGACTGAATGACCCCAGGACTGAATTCTCTCTCCCTCAGGCAAGGAGACAGTACTAAGTCTAGCTGAGAGAGGATGTTAATGAATGTGATGCCCGCTGAATTCCTCACTCATTCTAGGGAGAAGCAAAGATGCCAGTCTGATTGGCCACTTGTTGGAACTCCAGGGCCACCCCTTTCCTCCTGCAATCAGGGAGGCAGCTGCAGCACATGTAGACAGACCCAACCTGACTTTGATCTAGCTAGTTCCAACAGCAATAGCAGTGAAGGTGCATCAGTGCAGGCTAGCCATTTAAGGAACATACCCAGGGTCCTGGGTGGAGTTGTACAGCCCATGCTGCTGCCCATGCCGCCGCAGATTCCTTGCTATTGTCACTGGAGCTAGCTAGATCAGGACTAGCTTGGGTCTGTCTATACATGCTGCAGTCACACCTCTGATTGCAGTGTAGCCAGACCCTCAACCTTTTGCGGGATATTGTTTTGCATCCGTTTCTGTAGAGAGAGAGGACAGTGCCTCACAGGGTTTATAGCTCAGACCCCTGAGCTCGGTGTGAGCTGTACCATTTGGCGAACTAGCCTCCCATTCTAGAAATTACTAGTGTAAATGAGTTAAAAAATAACTCCTGGAGTTACCAGTCCACTCACTGTGTGTCTTGCCCCCACCCTACCAGGAGTCAAACCCATCTTTGATAGTGCTAGTCAGAGAAACACAGAATTTATCCTGCTGGAATAAAGCAGTGTCTTCCAGCCTGGCACCCTGTCTCCTACTGGGACCAGTGACAGATTCTTCTGAGGAAGGTGTAACACCCTGTACCGTCTGTGATGGGATCCCTGGGGTGCAGCCTGGGACCGTGGGACTGCTGTGCCCCCTTAACTCTCTCCCAGCCTGGGCTGTCACTCACAATGCCTTGCTAGTGACAAGCAGCAAACCCCTCCAGGTGCTGTTATCACTCAGAACAACTGCATGTGGAGCCCCACACCCAGCTATATTACATGAATGCTCCCAGAGCCACTCATGAATCACACAGGGAAAGGCACCAGACCAATCCCCCCAGCTCCCAGACTTACACTACAGGAAATATACCATCTTGCTCTGCTCAAGACGAGCAATGCAGATTTAATAATTGGTTCACCACTTCATCAATGGAAAGTGGATATACACACCAGCCTTTGCAAAACCTGAGTAGATTTGCCACACACTTCATACAAACTAACTGGCAAAGATAAACAGTAAAACAAATGTGTTGATTACAAAAGATAGATTTAAAATTATATTAAGTGATAGGTAAAAAGTCAGAGTTAGTTCCCAAAATAAAATAAAATATAATCATGCAGTCTAAACTCTCAACCATATTAGACTGGGCAACATCTAGATTAAGCAGTTTTTCTCACCCCACTGGATATTGCAGTCCTTAATATACAGATTTGTCCCTTAAATCTGGGCGAGTCTCCTCTGTTGGAGTCGTCAGTCTTCTTCTCAGTGTCTTTGTTGCTTGCAGCATAGGTGGGGGCAGGAGAGAGGCCCAGCAGCATGGGCCTGCTATGTTCTGTTTTATACCCTTAGTCCCATGTCTGGGGACATTGCTGAGTCTCCAGGCAACGTTGAACAATTCCCCTGGTGTGGCCTTATGCAGGTAAGTCACTGAATTGTAGCTCCCTTGCTGGACAATGGCCGTTGATGGGTTGTTTCACACGCTGCCTGAGCGTTGGTTACTTTCCTTGCTGTTGCCTCTGGGGAGCTAATATCTGTCTGATTCCCCAACTTACAGCATGATTTAGTGACAACCATACCACACAATTCTCATAACTTCATATGTATTAATGATATACATATATGGATAGAGAAATGACTTTCAGCAAATCATACTCTTTCCCCTGATACCTTACAAGGCATGCTTTATATATAAGATTATGATTATATAAAAATGAGGAATATGGGGATTACAAGACACTGCCCCAAGGTATAGAATGGCACACTGTCCTAATTCCATGATATGTTATCATGGGGGACAGAGGTGGTTCCTTCCTGACCCCTATACTGTGAAGCATGAGGATTGAGAGCCCTTGTTCTTTTACATCCCTTCTTCCCACTTGCTCTCATGCTTGCTCAGTAGGGCTATGAGACTGGTAGCTCACTGCAAGGGAGAATGATTCCTGTTGCTCTTTAGGAGTAATTCATATTCTCTTCTGAAGTGTTTGCACGTCTCTCCTTAGGTGTCCCCGAGAAGGTGGGCCTCTATTTTCTGTGTGGGGTCTCTGGAGGCCTGGTGTTCCTGCTTTGTATCTTCAGCCCCAAAATGGCCTTCATACAGGACATGAAGGAGGTCTTAAAAGACTCGAAACTGGGGAGCAGCTCAGAGCTAAGCCAGACCAAGTTACGGGATGACCACGACGAGGACAACCACAACGACGACAGCTCCTCAGACTCCTCATTCCGCCGCCTCACCCGCACCTACCGTGCATCCAACAACATCTTCAGCCCGGAGCTGACCGCAGCCCTGGAGGGTGCTGCTGAGCACAGGGCCCAAGAGGGAGAGGAGATCTGGATGCTCAAAGATTCCAGCCCCTACGCTATTCACAAACTCAAATCTGCTACCAAATGAGAATGAGGAGCAGGGGCCACTGGCAGGGCAATGAGCCAGTTCCACATCAGCAAGCAGCTCTTCCTAGTTACAGATCCAAATAATGGAGTGGGAACAGGGTGGGAAGGGGGACAATTTTCATCTCCGGGGACCCAAACTCATAACAGGCTTAGGTCACGTGCAACGAGTATGTTGATAACAGTCTGATCCCTGATAGAGATTTATCATGACTCAAACAAAGCTAGGCAAACTAATATACATTCTGTGAACGCCATGTAATAACTTTCCTGCTATAGAAACCATAGATTCCATAATCAGTATTTATATCACACACAACAAAAGCACATTTGTTACAATTGGCAGTCTCTGCTCAAGAGGCGAGCTGGTTGGAGAAATGTAGACATAATCATATTCCATCAGAATATACAGTTCTGTTGAAAGCAAAACGTTTAGCAAAATTGGGTTGAATTCTGCCTGAACTTTGTTTAGGAAGAAATGCATGGGGGAAAAGGGATTCCAACAATGTTGAAATGACCCGTACCAACATTTTCAGAATGAAACTTTTTTGATTTTTTTTTGTTTTGAAACAACTTTTAGTTTCAAATTTTTTGCATTTTGTAGTAAAATATATTTATAATACAAAATGAAAAAAGTCAAAATTGAAACAATACATTTCGGATGATCCCAAACAAAATATTTTTTGGAATGTTCCTTTGCAGAAAACTTGAGATCTTCAGTTTAGGAAAAACACATATTTTGAAATCTCAAAATCCTTTTGTCCTCCCTGAGATCCTGGTCTAAAACAGCAGGGAGAGCTGCAGGGCAGGATTGAATGGGATTGTCTGTCATTTCAACTGAAAGTTCTGACTGGGAGTTACCCTGGTTTGGTTACCAAGAAGAATTCAGAGGTAGAAACCTTGCATTGTCATTACAGTTGGGTGTTTGTAAGGTCAGTGAACCGACCAGTTATGAAAAGCTATCTCAACAATATCAAGCAAGGAATCAGACTGGTACATTACGTGGTGTTTTGTCTGATTTCTTGGGGTACATCTATACGGCGGGTAGTGTTCGATGTATCGGGGATCGATTTATTGCGTCTTGTCTAGACGCGATAAATCAATCCCCGAATCGACGCCTGTGCTCCACCTCGGCAGGAGAAGTAAGCGGAGTTGACGGGGGAGCCGTGGTGGTCGACTCGCCACCGTGAGGACGGCCAGGTAAGTCAAACTAAGATACTTCGACTTCAGCTACGTGAATAGCGTAGCTGAAGTCGCATATCTTAGTTCGAACACCCCCCCCCCCCCAGTGTAGCCCAGGCCTTAGTGATGTAATTAATTTTAGCCAATTAATGATTCAGTTCATACTGAATGCTCTGCTTACTCATGGTTGTGTTGCAGTCAGTTGCTAACACTCAATTACTCAATTAATTTCTTGTCTATTGGCCTATTTATAAGGCCCCTTTATCCTCCTTTTCACTGATTCCTGTCTTCTGTTTTTTTATTCCAGTTATGTCAATTTACATTACAATTCATGGTCAATGTTCTTTAATGATATGTGATAACATTGTGTGGATAGAGAGCCAAGGAGATCAGAGTCTGGTTTTTGGTGTGTATGGGAAAATCAATACAGATGCATATGCCAAGTAAAAACGAGAGCGCGAGAGAGAGAGAGAGAGGAATAAGTAAGACAGACAGAGTTATGTGAGGCACTGGCAGGGCCGGCTCCAGGGTTTTTGCTGCCCCAAGTGGTGCAAAGACAAAAAAAAAAAAAAGACCGCAATCACGATCTGCGGTGGCAATTCGGCGGGAGGGCCTTCGCTCCAAGCGGGAGTGAGGGACCGTCTGCCGAATTGCTGCCGAATAGCTGGACGTGCCGCCCTCTCTGGAGTGGCCGCCCCAAGCACCTGCTTGGCAAGCTGGTGCCTGGAGCCAGCCCTGGGCACTGGACTAGAACAGAGGTGGGTTCAGGAGGTCAGAGCTGTGCAAGATCCAATGCTTGAATTGGCAATGCTACAGGCAAGGTTGAGCGCATTAGGAACAAACAGGAGTCAGCACAACCATGTTGCGCGACAGACACTTGACAAAATTACTGGCCTTAGTGACTGACATTGGCGGGGGGTTATGTCATTCAGTCATTCAACCTGTAAAATAGTGCAAATAATTTTCCACACTGAAAAAAAACAGTAACCTAGTATGGGAATGGGTTTTGAAGCAGCAGTGTAATGTTACTGGCCTTTGCTCTAATCTTCAGGGGGTTGATCCAGAGCCGCCTGCAAGGCCTGGGAGTGGAGAACTAGGCAGTGCAATGGGGGTAGGGTGACCAGACAGCAAGTGTGAAAAATTGGGACAGGAGGTGGGGGGTAATAGGAACCTATATAAGAAAAAGACCCAGAAATCGGGACTGTCCCTATAAAATCGGGACATCTGGTCACTCTAAATGGGGGCTCCCCTTGGTTTGGGGGATGAACTCCTTGTGAGCTCCTAAAGGGACAGTGCCCCCAGTTGATTGCCTTGATTCACAGCAATTCACATGCAGATAAACCGGAGCAGCCCAGTTCTCATTTCAAAGTGCCTCTTCAAAGGGGCAGCCAGCCCCTCACTACTCCCCAGGGAAGTGGAGATTGACACAGTCTCAACACCTCTGAGAACTGCCTGAAATATTTGGCTGGTGCTATTTAAATGCAGAGGGGGATGTTAACGCAAACAGGGTCGGCCAGGCATAAGGAGAGACCCCTCTGCGAGATCAGCTCCGTGCACTGCCGTGAGATCCCAGCCCAGCCTGCAGGAGCGTGGCCCGCAAGGTGGAGCATTGGGGAAGGCTGGCTCTGGGCACAGCCAAGAGGATCCCTCCCCGCACCCCTCCCCATGTTCCCAACCCCCTGCTCCGCCAGGAAAGGGCAGGTCTCTGCAGGGCGGCGCTAGTCGCAGGCACTGCTGCTGCCCCCTGTTCTCGCTGACTCTGGGTAGCTATGGTGCACGTGCCTAGAAGCCCTGCGGCCCGCCCGGGCAATTTAAAAGGGCCCAGGGCTCACAGCCGCCGCCACTGCCGCTACTGCCAATAGGCTGGGAGCCGCAGAGTCAGCACTCAGGGAGAAGGGACAGAGGCAGCCTGTAGACTCACCTGGCCATGCCTCCGCCAGCAACAGCATGGACGGAGAGCCACTTGTGGGGAGCCTCCCGAGGTGAGCACCCCCACGGACCTCAACATTTTTACCATGGACACTTGTGTCCGTGTACAGCCACGTTGCCGATCCCTGGCAACAAACTGGCAGCTCAAGTTTTGCCTTCTTCTGTCTGCAGTTGTTGTTTTCTGTCCCTCGATTTCAGGAAGATCAGCTATTGCCCTGAAAGAAAAACCATGCCCCAAAATACCAATAATGTGCTATGCACTTGTAACATATCAAACAGGTTTTCTTTCCATAGCTCAAGGTAAATGAATTATCCCTTCATGGTGCTTTCATAACTGCTCCAAAGGTAAGGAGTCACTTAACTGTCATTGAAAGCTTTGTGAAATTCTTTTGCTATATTTCAGCTTTAACACCTCCGTGAGTCCTTTATCACTGCTTTTATTATTCCAGCTTGGCCAGCGCCACTCAGTTTCTAGGTAACAGGCTAAACTGGCATGGTCCTTTTTCAGCAAATAAACACTAAACATTTCATTAAAGTTGGGCTGCTGCCAGTCACACAGGCATGTGAAGAGCCTTTTTTCACTGAAAAATGCAACTTCCGTTTGTTTGAAATATCAGGTAAATTTGGGTCTAATTTGCTGAATTGTTTTGATCAGAAAAAAAATTCTGAAAACATCAAAACTTTTCAATGTTTTGATTCAAAATGACTTTTTCCTTCAAATTTTATTTCAATTTTGTTTTTAAAAGGTTAAAAACTCTCAAAACCAAAACAAAATGTTTCATTTTGCGTCAAACAGTACGTTTTGTTCTACCCGAACCAATTTTTTTTTTTAACTTTTTTGGTTTGAGAAAAATTCAAAAAAATTTCATTTTGAGTCGATCCCAAATGATTTTTTCTCCCTGATTTTTTGGTTCACCCATCAAACCAAAAAATCAGTTATTAGCCTGGACATGTTCACATCAGACATTGATGTTACTGTTGGAAACACACACTTGTGTCAAATGCGTGCTGGTCTTTTAGCAGTGGGCTGCCATATCACTCTGAGCTGGGAGAGCAGCCCTCTCCTTTGACGTGGGGAGAGCTGGAACTGGGGGTGCCAATGTGTATCGTGTCCTGGTTACGTTCCATGTGTGAAGGGTCACTTGTCTATAGCAAATCACCTGTATCTAGAGCAAATATCCTACACTGATTTGCCTCCCTTAGCTCCGTAGAATCTGAGGAGAAATAGATGTAGCACAGCCATCCTGGCTTGGTGGAGCACGCGCTGGTATCAGCTACAGCCTTCTCTGGGGGCAGGCTCAGCCGGGAGACAAGGAATGACTTGTTCCCTCTTAGCAATGCACCCTGAGGCCTGGCAGTGAGGCCCTTTGGCAGGGCAGCATGGGCAAAGCCACTGCTTCTGTCTCCTCTTAATGCATCTGATGCCAACACATGCCTCCCACCTGTAGACCATATGGTATATTAGACATCCATGCGTGCCATTTGTGTCATAGACTGTTACATGTGTGTATGTAACACCAGAGCCACACACTTGGTTTTAGAATTGTAGTAACATTTTCCGTGTCTCAAGACCTCCTCTTCCGCTCCCCCCTTGTCTTTTGTGACCCCCTCGGGGCAGGACCCTCCACTTGAAGAACACTGGACTAAAGGATAAAAGATTTCTGGGTTACTGATAACAAGGGCTGTTGCCCTTCTGCTAGAGGGCTGCAGAGGTGATCAGATAATTCACTTGCATACCCAGAATGAAAACCAATAAACCAAGCCCGACAGCTTGCTGCTGCTGGGGGTTCCATGACGGGGGATGCAGAGATTTCATTTACCTGCTGCTGAGGGCCAGATGTTTGCATCTGCAGCTGGGCAACAAGGGCAAGGGCTGGTCACATCCCAGTTACTGACCAAGGAGAAATTAAATGAGAACGACAAAGTTTCCTGGAACACATCTCTGCCAGGCTGAGTTTCCGACACTGCAAAGCTGGGGTCTGGTACTGACTAGAGAGCTCTGAAAGCAGGAATCTCTGCATTGGCTGCTGGCCTGAGGTCTGTTTGGGGAAGGAGATGATACATTAGGAATGGAAATGGTGGGAGAGTTTAGAATGTGAAAAGGGGAGAATGCAGTTTTGTGGTAGGTTCAAAAGCCATTTTGCCATGGGTTAGCACTCCTCCTCCACATCCAACTTCACTTCTTCATCCTATCTCTTAATCTGTCTTCCTGGCCCCCGTCACCATAGTAACTGAGCATCAGGATATTGGCAAGCAGACTCTATCTGGCCTTGCCACTCAACCTGGGCCTTGCAGAGGATGACTTAGGAGCGCTCTGGCTGAGCCTTCCATCCCCCAGAGCTCCCAGCTGACTCCACAGTTTCGGATGGCCTCTCAACACCCTTCTACTGCCCCACACCCTGGGGGATGGGCAGGATGGGAGTCTTTGGTTCTGATTGGTTCAAAAAGTCTCTGGTGAACTTTCCTAGCCCCTTTGGCACTTTTGGAGACAATGTTGCCTAGTGGATAGAGCCCGGGGACTTGGAAGACCTGGGTTCTAGTCAGGAGCGCCGCCAGCTTTTTTGCCTCCCTAGGCGGCGGAAGGTCCCGCCCCCGAAATGCCGCCCCCGACAGAGGAGGCAGAAGGTCCCACCCCTGAAATGCCGCTCCCGACAGAGGCGGCGGAAGGTCCAGCCCCCGAAATACCGCCGATGACCGGGGCGGCCGAAGATCCGGCCACCGCGGTCACCGCCCCCCAAATGTTAGTGCCCTAGGCGACCGCCTAGGTCGCCTAATAGCTTGCGCCGGCCCTGGTTCTAGTCTTGGGCCCTGCCACTGGCCTGCTGGGTGCCTTTGTGCTGTGCAGGTCACTTGCCCACTTTGTGCCTCAGTTCCCCCAGCTGTAAAATGGAACTAATGCTACTGACCTGCTTTGTAAAGCACTTGGAGATCCACTGATGACAGGTCTCTATAAGTGCTAGGTGGGATTAGCCTCCTGAAAAATCCATTATTTGCTCCAGTCTGCTACCCCATCTTGTATGTTTGGCAGAGAACAG